GACACAAGGAACTGAGGGTGGAAAGGAGGAGCATGCTGTCATATTGTGGGGATTGCACCAATGTCACAAAACAATATGTGTATAAATTTTTGAATGAGAAATTAACTGGAGCTGTAAACTTTTACCTAAAGCACAATAAAACTAAAAAAAGAAAAAAAAAGTAGAAATAACCCAAATGTTCATCAACTGATGAACAGATAAGCAAAATATAGTCTGTCCATACAATGGAATATTATTTGACAACAAAAAGAAATGAAGTACCGATACAGGCTACAACATAGATGAACCTTAAAAATATGCTAGGTGAAAGAAGTCAGTCACAAAAGACTATATATTTATGATTCTATTTATATGAAATGTCCAGAATAGGCAAATCTATAGAGACAGAAAGTAGATTAGTAGTTGCCTAGTGCTAGGAGATGGGTGGGTGGTGTGGGAATTGGGAGTGACTGCTAATGGGTATGTTTTCTTTTTTGTTTCCCCCTGGGGGTGATGAAAATGTTCTAACTTAGGTTGTGATGATGGTTGCACAACTATGAATTTACCGAAAGCCATTGAATTGTATACTTTAAATTAGTGAAGTTTATTGTATGTGAATTACCTGTCAACAAATATGTTAAAATGTACCATTCCTAATAGCATCACAAATCATCAAATATGTAGAAGTAAATTTCACAATGTATGTGTATAACCAGTACACTAAAAATGACAAACTACAAAGCATTGTTAAAATTTTAAAGATGACCTAATCACGTAGAGAAATATATCATGTTCAATTATTGGGTGACTCAAAACTGTTAAGATGCTAACTTTCCTCAAAGTAACCTATAGATTCTATACAATCTCAATTAAAATCCCAGTAGGCTGTTTGCTTTTTAAAAATAAGTCGATTTTGAAATTTATATGGAAATGCTAAGGACCTAGAATAGGCAAAACAATTTTGAAAGAGAATAACTCACACTACACAATTTCAAGACTTACTATAAAACTACAATAATCAAATCAGTATGGTATTGGCATAAGGGTAAACATATAGGCAATGAAATAGAATAGAGTGTAGAATTGCACACACACACATATGGTCAATTGATTTTTGGCAGAGATGCCAAGGTAACCGTATAGGGAAAGGATAGTCTTTTCAAAAAATGGTGCTGGAGCACTGGATATCAGTTTGGAAAAAAAATGTACCTCTACCCCTACACCTCACACCATACACAAAAATTAACTTGAAATGGATCATAGACATAAATGTAAGAGCTAAAACAATACCATTTCTAGAAGAAAATATTTGCGATCTTAGTTGAGGCTAAGATTTCTTAGATAAGATACCAAAAGGAAGAACTGTAAGAGGAAAAAAAAACCTGTTAAATTGGACTTCATCAAAATTAAAAACTTGTGCTCTTCAAAAAACATTAAGAAAATGAAATAGGCAAGCCACACACTTGGAGAAAATATCTGAAATACATATGTTTGATAAAGGACTTGTATCTAAAATATATAAAGAACTCCTGTAATGCAATAAAAGGTCCCTGGTAGCACAAATGGTGTGTACTCAGCTGCTATTGGAAAGGTTGGCAGTTGGAACCCATCCAGCAGTACAGTGGAAGAAAAGTCCTGGTGATCTGCTTCTGTTAAGATTACCCAAGAAAATCCTATGGAGCAGTTCTACTCTGTAACACATGTGGTTGCCCTGCCATGAGTTGGAATTGACTCAATGGTGACTAACAACAACTCAATAAGAAGAGTAATCCAATTAAAAAATAAGCAAAATATCTGAACTAGCATTTCGCAAAAGATACACAAATGACTAATAAATACATGAAAAGACACTCAACATCTTAAGAAAATACAAATAAGCACCACAGTGAGATGTGGTATACATTATCTATACATCCAATAAACTGGCTCAAATTAAGAAGACTAACAATAACAAGTATTCGTGACGATATAAAGTAACTGGAATTCTCGTACATTGCCAACAGCAAAATGGTATGTCAATTTGCAAAATAGTCTGGCAGCTTTGTGTAACATACGTTTACCATATGATCCAGCAATTCCACTCCTAGGATTTACCGAAGAGAAATTAAAACATATGTTTACACAAAGACTTGCACTCAAATGTCCATAACAGCTTCATTCATAATAGTCTGAAACTGGAAAACAAATCAAATGTCCATTAACAGGTGAATGAACAAATTAGATATATCCATCCGTTGAATGGAATATTACCCAGCCATTAGCTGGGCACATTACTCACCAACAACATGGATAAATTTCAAAAGCATTAATGTTAAGTGAAAGAAGAGACAACATACTGTAGGATTCCATTTATATGAAATTCTAGAAAAGGCAAAACTATAGTAATAGAAAGTAGATCAATTGTTGCCAGAGAAAGTGTAGGTGGAAGGGATTAACTGCAAAGAGGCATGAGGAAATTTTTTGGAGTGATAGAAATTTTCTCTACCTTGATTGTGGTGGTGGTTACACAATTATATACATTTATCAAAACTCAAATTGTAAACTTAACAATCGTGAATTTTATTGTATGTAAATTATGCAGCAAACAAAACAAAGTCCATGCCCTCTTGGAGCTTATATGCTGGTTGGTGAGAAAGACAGTATACAGATAAAAAATGATGTCAGTGATGGGTCCTATGGGGAAGAAAAAAGTGATTGTGGGAGGGGCAGAGAGAAGGGATGCTGTTTGCAGTCAGGGAAGACCTCCTGATTGAGATGACATTTGAACAAAGACTGGATTGAAGTGAGGGAGTAAGCCACAGGAATACACTGGGGAAGAGTGTTCCCAGCATGGAGAACAGTAAGTGCAAAGACCCTGAGGAGGGAGTGTGTTGGGAGCAGGGCTTCCAAATGGTTCATTCTGGTTCGAATCTCTGCTGAGAATTTGCATTTTCTCTCCAGATATACTGAATCAGAATCTACATTAACAACATCCCCGTGTGATTCCTATGTATAATAAATTTTGAGAACCACTGCTCCACTAGTGGTTCTCAGAATTGGTCCTGGACCAGCAGCATTAGCATAGCCTGGGAACTTGCTAGAAACGTAAGTTCTCAGCAGGGGGTTCAGATCTGAACGAACCTGGTTCAGAGTTTTCAAGGTACAGTTAAAGAGGCCAGTGTGGTTGGAGCAGGGTTAGGGAGGGGAGAGTAGCAAAGGTTGAGGCCAGAGGTTGCTGAGGCTAGAATATAAAGATTTTGGATCTCATTTTGAGTCAAAAGGGAAGCCATTGACCAAAGCGTTCTAGCAGAGAAGCACCATGATCTGACCTGTGTTTAAAAGGATCTCTCTGGCAGTTGTGTACAGAATAGACCACAGGCCAGACAGTAAATATTTTAGGCTTGCCAGCCATATAGCCTCTGTCAAGACTACTCAACTCTGCTGCTGAAGAGTGAAAGCAGCCATAGACAATGTGTAAACAAATGAGTAAGCTGTGTACCAATAAAACTTGATTTACACAAACAGGCAGTGGGCTGCACTTAGCTCTGCAGTTTGCCAACCCCTGGAATAGACTATAGGGGACCAAAGGCAAGCAGATCAGTTAAGAGGCCCCGCAATAAAATTGAGCAAGAGGTGATGGTCACCTGGACCAGGGTGTAGCAGGGGAGGTGGGAGACATGGTTAGAGTTGGGGTATACTATGAAAGCAGAGCCAATAGGATTTGTTGGTAGATCAGATATGGGATTTGAGAGAGAGGTGTTTGTGCCGACTAATTGGAAGAACAGAACTGCTATTTACTAGGAAAGAATCAGATTTGGGGAAAATTCAGGAATTTGGATTTAGACATACATCATTAAGAATTGTTTGGAATATCTGTTAGATATCAATTGAGTAGATAGTTGCATATAGGACCTGGAGCTCAAGAGAAAGGCTGGGTTTAGAGATATAAATTTCAGAGTTTTTCTTTCTATAGACGGTCTTTAAAATCATGGGAATGGATGAGGTCTCCTAGGGAGTGTGTATAGATAGAAAAGAAAAGAAGTCTGAGGGAAGTTTTACCGACAGAATTACCTGTTCTTGAAGGTTTGGGAGAACCTACCTTAAATTTGTCATTCTAGAGAATAGAAGAGAGGATACTCCATCCCTCAGTTCATGAGGCTGGCGTATTTTGACACCCGAACAAGATAAGGGAAGTTATAGGCCAACCTCACTTACGAGTGTATAAGTTGGAAAAAAAAAAGTCAATATATTAGCAAAGCAAATCATCTAAAAGTGTATAATATGATCAAGTAGTGTTTACTCCAGGAATGCAAAGCTGGTTAAATATTATTCTATTACTATAATTCACCAATTAACAGATTAAAGAAGAAATAACCCATGATCACAAGAATAAAAAAGCATTTGATAAAATTTAACCTCCATTCATGATTAAAATAATTTAAAGCAAACTAAACTAGACAGGGACTTCCTTAACCTGATAAAGGTTATCTACCAAAACCATCATACTTAATGGAGACAACATTGGAAACACTCCCTTTAAAAATCAGCAATGAGATAAGGATGTCCACTATTATCACTTTTATCCAACAACATACTGGATGTCCTAGCCAGTGCAGTAGGATTAAAAAAAAAAAGATAAAATTGGCATTATTTGCAATAATTACTTCTAGAAAACCCAAGATAAGTTATTAGAATTAATGAGAATTTCTGAATACACAATTTGAACACACAATCAATAAGTAAAACATGAGCACTGTTTCTGTCACCAACAATAAGCCACTTTAAAATGTAATTTTTCAAGATAGGTAATCTGACTTGCCCAAGGTCACATAGCTCGTAAGGGGCGAAGCTGGAATGGAAGCCAGGGCTCTCTCCCTGACTCTCAGTCAGAGGCCACGTTGCCTCTCTGGCATTTGTGTGCTTCTGTAGAATGAATGTTTCCCCCATTTGTGTCCATCCCACCCAGAGGTGAGGCCTGAGCAGGGGGCCTCCTGGTGCCAGAGAGGGCAGCAGTTTTCCTCAGCCTGCCAGGAGAGGCTCACCATGGGTAGGATGGAGGCCTGAAGAGAGGCGATGGTAATGGGCTGCGTCTTCTTATCCTCCTGATACGCTGGCAGGATTTCCACGAGATTCATCTCCTCTTTGGCTTTCTCCCCCAGGCAAATCTGAGAGGAGGTGAAAACAGACAGAGGTACCTCATCACGCTGAGAGCAGATGGGAAAACCCTGTTTCTGTCCGTTGGGACCAGACTCCCACCTCCTTCTCTGAAGGAGGGCCGAGCTCCTGCCTACTCCAACTTTCCTCACCTCCTTGGGGGACACTCACCGTACTAAGCAACAGCTTACAGTCCTGCTTCCCCTCCATCTGGGGTTTGAAGGTCCAAGTTCGCTTCTCCTGATTTAGCTCACAGCCTGGGAAGGGAGGGAGAGATGCAAGTGGGGCAGGGAGACTCAAGAGAGGCACTCCCTTTCTCCCTTCCAGCCCTCACGCATCCGCACACCCACAAGTGCAGGCTTCTGCTCAAGGGACAGAAGGTGGGACACTGCCTGGACGGCTGTGAGAATGAGCTTCCATCTAACTCACCCCACAGCATAGTTGTTACTGCCTTCTCCTCTCTGCTGCTGGTGCTGCTACGACTCATGGCACCGGGCGGAGGAGCTGGGGGCAGGAGAAGAGCTGTGAAGAGGGGCAGCCTGCAGTGAGGCGGCCTGCTTTCCCTGCTGGGAGCCCAGCAGCACTCACTCCATAGCCCCATCTGTTGAGACGATGACGCCTTGGCTTTGGCCTAAGTGAGTGCCTGACACAGTCAATTGACTCATTAAACTCCTGGAAGACAGCTACTAACTGACACACCTGTCAGAGCAGTCCAGACGGAAGTACTTATTCAAAGAATGATGAGTCAGGTCAACCCCAAGCTTGAAAGGTTTTTGTGGGACCTCCTAGCTCCCCTCGTGGAGAATGGCCCTCCCAACACCCTTGAGGAGAGCCCCAGAGAGGGTGTGACTTCCTAGCAGGATCCCAGAGAAAGGCAGGGTCTGTGTCTGTTTTGTTCCCAGTTATACTCATACCTTGGGTCCTGGTCTTTTTCAGCTCCTCCTCAAACTGACTGTCCCTTTTCTGCGGGCTGCCAACCAGACCATCCACTCCTCCTTGGAGCTCTTCTCTCTCAGAAGTGCCCTCACTCCAGCCTCATCCTGCCGCACCTGATGGCTGCCATTATGAAGCCTGGAGGAGAATGGGAGGTAGCCAATTAGCCCTAAAGATAGGCCCTTCTTGCCCCATTCCATTCTTCTATTCTTTCCTCCTCTTTGTGCCCCAAACCACCTGGAGGACTTGTTAAAACACCGATTGCTGGGCTCCACCCCAGAGTTTCTGATTCAGTAGGTCTCATGGCACGCAACAACAACAAGGTTTAGGTGGGGCCAAGAGAATTAGCGTTTATAACAAGTTCCCAGGTGAGGTTGCTGCTGCCAGTCAGGGAACACACTGTGAAAACCACTGCCATAGCCAATGAGGATTTGCTGAGGCCTGTGATATGCTGCTGCTGCAGTGCTTAAGAGCTCAGCTGCAGACCAAAAGGTTGGCTGTTCAAATCTACCAGCCTCCTTGGCTAACCCTACGGAGCAGTTCTACTCTGTTCTATAGGGTCGCTGTGAGTCAGAATCGATTTGACGGCAGTGGGTTTGGTTATGATTTGCTGAAGGAGCCCTGGTGGTGCAGTGGTTAAGTGCTCAGCTGCTAACCAAAAGGTCGAGGCTTGAACCCACCAGCCGCTCCATGGGAGAAAGATGTGGCAGTCTGCTTCTGTAAAGATTACAGCCTTGGAAACCCTATGGGGCAGTTCTACTCAGTCCTATAGGGTCGCTATGAGTCAGAATTGACTCTACGGCAATGGGTTTTTTATTTTTAATGCTTTCTACTATCAAGTGCCTGGGTGGAACAAATGGTTACATGCTTGACTACTAGGTGATAAGTTGGCGGTTTGAACCCACCCAGAGGTGCCTTGGAAGACAGGCCTGGCAATCTGTTTCTGAAAGGTCACAGTCTTGAAAACCCTATGGAGCAGGTCTACTCTTGACACACGGGGCCGCCACTAAGTTGGAATCAATTCAACGGCAACTAACAACATGCTCTCTACTGCACCGGAGCGTGGAGACGTAACTAGAATATGCGGGTATGGCAAGTATTGCACTGGCCCTCGCCACCTGGCGCCACTGAGTTTCTATTAACCCCAGTACGGCCAGCAGTGTATCTACAGAAAATGACGCCTATGGAAAACAGTGAAATGGCATCCCTGTCAAAACATCTGACACCCCTCTTTTTAGGTAACTTTACCGTAATATCAGCTCAAAAATATAAGTCAAGCTTGTTAATATTTTAATTAACACATTACAATGCTTAAGGAAGGATGTTGGGCAGTACCAGCTTAACAGAAACTGCTCAGTGGTGCCATGCTCCCAGGGCGGGTGCAATACCCTAGATATGCCACTGCGGAGAGGGAACCCTCGCTGCCAAGCTTAGAGATGCTTTGCAACCTAGTATGAAGCAGCAGCATTAAGTGCTCTGTCTCGTTTGTTTGCAGCCCTGGTGGACCAGTGGTTAAGTGCTACGGCTGCCAACCAAAAGGTCGGCAGTTTAAATCTACCAGCCGCTCCTTGGAAATGCTATGGGCAGTTCTACTCTGTCCTAAAGGATCACTGTGAGTTGGAATTGACTCGACGACAATGGGGGTTTTTTTTTTTTTTTTTTGGCTCATTTGTTTATTGCCTTTCTTCCCCCTCCCCCTCAAGTGTGGGCCTTTTCAAATGCCCAGAGGGCTTCTTCACCAGTTCCGGGTCCGGGTCCGAGGTATCCAGAGAGGGAGAGCCCTGTTTCCAGAATGATCACTTCTCCCATAGAGGAGCATGGCCGGGAAGGAGTAGGAGGTGGGGAAAGTGACTGGAGAGGCTCCTGCAGCCTTGGTGAGGGATAAGCTATGGAGTACAAAGTGACTTTGCATGGACCAATTACTTAACAAGTAGCAGTTCATAGGGCACAGTGATGCACTTAAACGTTTGGATCAGGGTAGTGAAGAAGAGCACGCATTTCAGCGAACACGCTCCTCTCTGTCCTACTCATAAACACCTATTTGGGAGTCAGAAATAAACAGGGATTTCTCTCATTCCATTCTTACCCTTTGCTCCCATCTGGGAAACTTCTTACCAGTGTCCTTTCTGGAACCCTGATCAGAGCTTCTGCTGTGCAGGAATCAACTTTTTCTTCCTTTTTTAAAAAATCAACTTTATTGAGAAATAATTTCCATATAATAAAATGCACCCGTTTTAAGTGTATAATTCGATGAATTTTAACAAATGTATATACCCATGGGAGTCCCTGGGTAGTGCAAACGGTTAACATGCTCAGCTAACTAACCAAAAGGCTGGAAGTTTGAGTCCACCCAGAGGTACCTCAGAAGAAAGGCCTGGTGATCTACTTCTAAAAAAATTAGCCATTGAAAACCCTGTGGAACACAGTTCTACTCTGACACACATGGGGTCTCCATGAGTTGAAATCGACTCGACAGCAAGTGGTGGTGGTGTTTATACCCATGTAACCGCCGTCAAGTCAAGAAATAATTTCCATCATCCCAGAAAGTTTTGTTTCTCTTGCAGTGAATCCCTTCCCTCACCCCTAGCATTAGGCAAATGCGATCTGCTTTCTGACACTATAGATTAGTATTATGTGCTCTAGAATTGCATATGAAGGGAATCATACAGAATGTACTCTTTTTTGTCTACCTTCTTCTGCTCAGCAAAATGAGATTTATCCATATTGTAGCTCCTTCTTTCTATTGTTGAACAGTATTCCATTGTATGGCTGTACTACAATTTGTTTATCCAGTCACCTGTTGATGAACACTTGGGTAGTTTCCAGTTTTAGGCTGTTATGTTGTTGTTGTTAGGTGCTGTCTAGTCAGCTCTGACTCATAGCGCCCCTATGTACAACAGAACAAAACACTGCCCGGTCCTGTGCCATCCTCACAATCGTTGTTATGCTTGAGTCCATTGTTGCAGCCACTGTGTCAGTCCATCTCATTAAGGGTCTTCCTCTTTATGAATAAAGCTGCTATAAACACTTCAGAGCAAGATTTTGCATGGACATATGTTTCCTCTTAGGAAAACACCTAACAGTGGAATGGCTGGGTCATATGGTAAGTGTACATTTAACTTTATACAGAACTGCCAAATGTTTTCCAAAGTGGTGTACCATTTCACATTCCCATTAGCAATATATGACAGTTCCACTTGCTCCATATCCTTATTGACTCAGTATTGTTGGTCTTTATTTTGGCTATTCTAGTGGACATCTAATGGCACCTCACTGTGGCTTTTATTTGTATTTCCTTGATAACTAGTGATGTTGAGCATCTTATCATGTGTTTATTGGCCATTTGTGTTATCTTCTTTTGTCAACTGTTTTTCAAATCTTTTGCCCAAAATTTGCTTATTTCCTTATTATTGAGTTGTATATGTTCTTTACATATTCTGGATACCTGTCTGTGTCAAATACATGTATTACACAGACTTTTTTTATGGTGCCTTTTGAAGAGCAGACATTTTTATTAAGTCCAATAACTTTTTTTCTTTTATGACTCATGCTTTTGATGTCTGAAGAAAGCCTTGCTTAATCCAAGGTCATGAAATTTTCCTAAGTTTTCTTTTAGGAACCTTATATAGTTTCACTTTTACTTTTAGATCTATGATCCATTTTGAGTCAATTTTTGTATATGGTGTTAAGTAAGAGTTGAAGTTTCCCACCCCCCACTCAAGTTGGTATCCAATTCCTCCAGCACCATTTTTGGAAAAGACTATCCTTTCCCTATCAAATTACCTTAGTACCTTTGTTGAAAATCAATTAACCGTATGTGTGTTGGTCTATTTCTGGACTTTATTCTGTTCTATTGATCTACAGGTCTACCCTAAGGCCAATACCACACTGTCTTCATTACTGTAGCTTTACAGTAAATCTTAAAATCATGTCCTTCAACTCTGTTCTTTTACAAAAACGTTTTGGTTAGTTGAGATCTTTTGCATTTTCACATATATTTTAGAATCAGCTTGTTAAAGTTCCACAAAAACCATCCTGGGATTTTGTTGAATGTATAGGTCAATTTGGGGAGAACTGACAACACGAGTTTGAGTCATCCAATCCATGAACATGTTATAATCTCTCCGTTTATTTAGGTCTTTTAAAATTTTCCTCAGCAAAGTTTAACAGATTTTAGTATACAGGCCTGACACATATCTTCTTATATGTATTCCCATGTGTTTTATGTTTTTGGATACCACAGTAAACAGGATATATGTTTAAAAATTTCATTTTCTAATCATATACAGAAATACAACTTTTTTTTGGTATATTGACCTTGTATTCTGTGATTTATGGCAGTTTTACTTCTTTCCTGATCTGTATGCAGTTTATTTTTGTGCCTTATTGCTCTGGCTAGGACCTCTGGTACAATGTTGAATAAAAGTGGTGAGAGAGAGCATCTTTGCCTTGTTCTTGATCTTACGGGAGAACTATGCAGTATTTCATCACCAAATACACTGTTGGTGGAAGGCTTTTTACAGATGTCCTTTATTAGGTGAAGAATGCTTCTCT